ATAAACTATCCATTTTAGTACTTGCCTTTGCAACCTAGGTAGCAAAACTCAATTTAAATTATCAATTATTAAATTTATTGAATTATTATTTATAATTTGGCAATAAATTCTGAAATCACAAAACATATTGTATAGGTATACCATGGCATTAAAGTTTCTTTAGTGAATTACAGCCCTTGAGTTCCTCAAACTGCAAACTTTTCCACAGTATCAAAATATTCTCTTTAGTCACAATAATACATCTGCCATTTTTGTTTCAGATTTTTTAGAAAGCACAATTTTCCAGGAATTGTTGGCATAGTAGATGGAATACATGTAGCTATAGTAAGACCTAACCAAAACGAACATATCTATGTTAATCGAAAAGGGTACCACTCTTTAAATGTTCAACTGGTAAGTTCAGTTTTTGTTTACATTCTGTAATGAAATTTATTTGGCGAATATTGAATAAAAAAAATCATTATGAATTTGAAAGAAAAAAACTTCGTAACAATTTTTTTAATAATATTCATAATAAAACATTAACCAAGACAACAATAGGCAATAGCAAAAATATTTCACAACTTTAATTTTGGTTGCAGGTTTGTGGAGAAAACTTACAAATTTTGAGTGTAAATGCCAGATTTCCTGGATCAAGCCATGATGCTCATGTGTGGAGACAATCCACTGTGTCCAACGTTATGCAAACTATTCATAACAATTTTCAGCAACCATTCTTTCTGTTGGGCGATTCTGGTGAGGATATTTTTTATACATAACGGATTTTCAAAGAAGCAAATCAGAGTTGGCAATGGTTTTTTAAAAATACGTCTTAGCAATATTTTTCTTAAATTTTGTCATTGAATTTTGTAATATCAAAAATAATGGTCAATAACAAAACAATAATGCGACATACGTTTTTGTAATTAATGCACCCTTTGATTTAGTTTTTTTTTGAAGTATATCAAATATGTAGATACTGGGTGATCTATTTTATTTTTCAGACATACCCTCAACATTATTATGGGAGGTATGGCTAAGATTGCTCAGAAATATTGAATCACCATGTATCAACATATTGTAGTGGGAAAAAATATACCATGGAAACATATTGTGGCAGTGAACAATTATTATGTACTGACTCATATTGAACCACATTTAATAAGGCCATTTTTATATAGGCACAGTAAATAAATTATAATTTTTTTTTTTTCAGGATACCCTCTTCGCCCCTGGTTGATGACGCCTTTGGAAAATAATCCTCTACCAGGAACACAAGAGCACAGATTTCAAAGTTCGTTCACTTCCATCAGAAGCTCAATAGAAATGTGTAATGAGAAATTGAAAAATAGATTTAGATGCCTACTCAGACATAGAGTACTGCATTACGATCCAGAATTTGCAGGAAAAATTGTTAATGCCTGTGTAGTGCTGCATAATATATGCACAGATCACAATGTTGCAGTACCCTTGGATGATGACAATATTCAAAATATAGATTATGGGATGTATGCTGCTGATGCGATGGGAGGACATGGACAGGATCGTCCTAATAACATGAATCATGACTTAGTTGCTGGGCGACGCCTACGAGCCCAAATAATTCAAAGAAATTTTAATTGAACGTAATTGTCATTAATTATAAATAAATATGCTCCTGATGAAAAGTTGTTTACAAACCGAAAAGTACCCTTTGACTGTCCCTTCAAGTTTGAGCTATAGTATACCTATCACATTGTATATAAAAGTACTAAAGCAATACTTTTTTCCTGAGTTGGAAAGTTTCTAGCCTGAGCGAAGCAAGGACTTCAATTTGCTGAGGGTTTGAAAGGAACTTCACTCTCGTGGTTTATGAGCTATCTTATGCACTTTGTAAAAATATCTAAACATTTTGAAAGTCAAATTGTTACACTCACTTGAGAATTTTATACAGGACATGGTATAGGGTGCAGTGAAAAAATGGACTAAGTAAAAAAATACATATAACAAAAAAATATTTTATTTGAAAATCATAAACCCTAAAGAACCCAACAAAAAATATCTTATACTAGTTTACCCAAAATTTAGGTACAAAAATCACAAGTGCTATAAACATCGCCTGATGTTTTGTGGGCACCTTGAGACTAGAAATATAATTAGTCATCAATATATATATCACAAGTCATATTAGAATTATTAATACATGGTGTAAAGAAAATTTGGAGGGTATAGTATACATAAAACTGGTAAAAAAGTTTCTATAAGTATGGGTTGTAAAATGCATATTGAGGGGGTTAAGGGCATTGAGAGGGTGAATTTAAAAATCGTTTTTCTGAAAGTTTGAGTTTGAAAAACAAGATAAATTTTAGAAAAAAATCCGGGCTGGCAAACATTTTGTGTCTAAATAAATCCTCATGCCAGAAACTATTTGTTGAATCGGAAAAGGTATTTTTTGCAAGGGTAGGGTGTTATTTTATCCCCCTTAATATACATTTTAGAACCCATACCTATAGGAACTTTTTTTTCATCAGTTTAATGAGTACTATCACCCCCCAAAATTTTTTACACTATTTCAATGACCCTATATAATATATCACAAAGTCCAAGAAAAACAATACACTTCAAGAAGAAAGAGTAGTTTCTAGCTAACTTACTTGACTAAGTTAGGTTTTTTTATTCAAATTAGCAACTACTATACTTAATACTAATAATCACATTATGATCCATAGGAACTAAACTAATACCCCAAAAAAAAATCGTAGTAAATATAACTTATATACAAAATACTTAATACTTAAAATCACATCATGAATGAACAATAGGAACTTAACTAATACCCAACACAATTTTTTTTAAATTAAATAAAACTATATACAATTTGCAACAAAAACAAAAAACAAAAAAAAACAACCAAAAATAAAAACAATTTCTGCAAAAAATATACAGCATACATCTAGATTAGAAAAGTCATATGACTTGATCAATATAGAACTGTAAGTCATAGGACTTGTCTAAGCTAGGTGTATGCTTGTTTTGTGCACTCAAGTATAAATTAATAGAGAGAAACCAAATTATTATTCTTTGGCCACAATCGCTGCCAAGAGATTATTCAAGGCTTCAGAATTTTTTTCTAAAGCTTTCAACATTTTTTTATCATGATCCATTTGATGGTCCATGAAAGCCATTTTTTTAGTATAATAGCTCTCCATTACGTCATTTCTGCAGTTTACTCCTTTGAGCAACTGCTGGCCAAGTTTAATTGAAGTTTGCAGCCTTTGGGTTTGATTCATTTTTTTTCTGGGTAACCCTGGAGGATATTCCATATTATATAAATGGTCATTTTCCTTTACATCTCCCTGATTTCCCATTTCTTCTTTCTCTCCATCACCTTCGACCTCAATAATTATTTCTTCGATGGAAGGCTCGATTGAAGGTTTTTCATTGGTCTTGAGTAGGGGTTTGGGAAATTCTGGTAAGGGATCCGAAGTGGGGGCACTCTTCTGTTAAAAAATGGTATTATAAGAAAAATGTCACACAAAAAAAATGTCAGGATGCAATGAAAAATTAAATCTTCTTTTTAATGAGAACTAATTCAAAATTTTTAATTCAATAATAAGTCTAAGTGTAATAGTAAAATACAAATTATAAATCAAACTCATGAGCACAATCTAAGAAACAATGATAATATTCGTTTTGGGTAGTGCAAGAACAAATAAAGCATTGCAGAGCCCGTTGAGTGCGGCCTCAGTTGTTTACAATAATTTGCCTATTGAAATGAAAAATGAAAAACGACTACTTAAATGTGTTTATAAAAAAACCTTTAAAAAAATTTATGGAAAAATTCAAAAAAAAAATTGTAGATAAACTGAATTTTGTCTGAATAAAGGATTGTTAAAAAAAAAATATATTTGATCTTCAACCTAAAGATTACATAATTATTATTTTAACATTTAAATTTTTTAGTCAAAAACTAAGACTATATAAAATTACTATGTAAATTTAGAGACATGCTCAAGTATACAGGGTGATTTACGTAGCCTGTGCACTTCTAATGCACAGACTATGTAAACATTGTGTATAGGTTTTAGTTTTTTCTCTAGACTAAAACCTTAATCAAATTCAATTTATTGTGTTCTACTTGGCGACTGTTCATTGATACCTACCTACTATCGAAAACTTTTTGCCAAACAAATTCAATGAATTAGTTACATAAAACTTATTTCTACCCCCCTAGCTGTGCTAGGGAAGGTATTGTAAGGACGAATGAGGTTTGTAGGGAAAACATAAAAGAAAATAAATTACTTGTAGGAAAAAAGGGAGAATATACATTATAAATTACTCTTACCTTTGGAGGATTGATAACCTCCCAATCAAAATTTATTTTCGGCTCTGGGACTTCTATGTGCCCATCAACTTCTGTTGGATCGATAAGATCAGCAACATCATCATCAATATTGATGTCAGCAGGTTGGTCCACCCCCAGTCAGGTCCATGTCTCTTTTTTTAGAAACCATCTTGCTTTTTGTAATTTTTTTCAGGTCTTGCCATGTCTAAAATAGTGGGAACTTGTGAGAATCTACTGCTTATCTTTTTCTTTAGGACTAGTTATTATTAATAACTAAGATTAATATTAAGTTCACTTGATTCAACATTGCTCAACAACAACACAGCTTAAAGTGAAAAGAAATTAGGATACCGAAATGGGCATCAAATGGGAATGACCTAAGGAATGACTATTAAGCTGGATTTATACAGCAACTAAAATAAAATAAAATAAAATAACAAATAAGAAATAACAAATAGAAAATGCGATGGCGTTTATAGAGACAAATAAAATAAAATAAGAAATAATTTTCGACCAATGGAAATATATGTTTTGCACATGCCCCTGTCCAACCAGATTTCAAATTCAAATTTGATGTCGTTAACGTTAAGTGAGGTTAAGTTTTTGTTATTTGATTTTTAAATTTTTGGAAAGCGGGAAGCCGGTTTTTCAAGTTTATTGTTCTTTTTTTGTGTTTTGTGGAGTGCAAACGCCAAACATGGATGATGGATTATTAATTGAGCAAGTTGCAGGGTTTCCTGCTCTATTCAATAAAAACGATTGCCGCTTTAAAAATAAAACGGCCAGAGAGCAGGCATGGCAAACCATTGCCGAAATTATGGGTTGTTCTGGTAAAGTTTTAGTGAAGTTTTGAAAAGTACAAGCAATTCATTTTTTTTATTTTAGTTGAAGACTGCAGCAATAGGTGGGTTGTTTTAAGGGCGAAATATACCACTCTCAAAAAACAAATCAGAGAAACCCCGTCTGGATCCGCGGGGTTCTCAATTTCCTGGCCACATTATGAGGCAATGGGGTTCTTGGACCCATTTTTGGTGACGAGAAGGTAGAGTTTTCTCAGATTATAGTTGATTTTGAAGTTATCTTTATTTAAAAAAAAAGGTGTTGGTTTGATCAAATCAATTTAAGTGGGCTTGAAAAAAGGGAACATTTTAGAAATGCTCTATTTCTTTTAGGACTATATCAAACATTAAATTGAAATACCAGAACATCTCTAATCTAGAGTCTTCGGAGCAAGGGCAAGGACCATCTTCAATTTGGGACACAATGTCCCAACTTGAATTTTCAGATGTTTCTGTGGGTGCTCCGGAGACTGAAGATTCTGTGACTGAAGTCACTGATGAGACAGACTTCTCACCCCCGCCAACTCCAGATCCTATTTCAAAGAGTGGAACTCCTACCACATCACATTCTCAACTATCGACTACTTCGACTTCATTCAGCTCATTCAATCAAAAAATGGCAGCACTTAGGAGGCAGAATACAAAAGGCAGGGGTGGTGCAATGGGTGGTACCAAGCGGAATGCGTAAGAAGCGATGTGCCACAGCATCACTTCAGCCATAGGTGACTTCCAGAAGAGACATCAGGCTTATAGTGAAGGAATCGCCTTCAAGCTGGGCCAAAAGTCTTGCAGAAGACATGCTGGTTTTGTCGCCAAGCCAAAGGATCATTTTCAAAAAAAAATGTTACGACATTTTGGCAGAAATGGTACAAAACACACAGGAATGAAAGACTTTTGGCCCTGCTTGAAATGCCTTCAAAATATTAGGTAGTTTTAGTTTAGTTCTATTATTTATTATTTGAGAATGTTGTATTTGATTTATTGAAATTTTAGGAATGTTTTTTTTTTTGAGATACATTTAAAATTTAAGTTATTTAAAAATGTTACATTTAATTATGTTATGTCATGTAAAATAGGTAGTTATTTATTCAATAAACAATTTTTTTTTTCTTTGATACCAAACTGTTTTCAAATTTCGTTTGCATTTTTGTAGGAACATGTTTCTGCAAAGCTAATGCCCGTATTACATCTGTGTATTTTTCCGTGTATTTATTCATGTAGTTCAGGGTGACAACCGAAAAACTTCAAATGCAACATAAATCAGCATTATGAAAAACAAAATAATGTTGGCACCCTGAACTACATGAATAAATACACGGAAAAATACACACATGTAATACGGGCATAAGTACACCATTTTGAGTTTTTTGATAGTATTTTATTTCACGCACAAAATATACAAACTAAAATAACCTAGTTCTCCTAAATAGACCTATAATAAACCACCTAGGCCACATACAATAGTTATTTGTGTAACCAGTTGGGAAAAGCACTACTGGATTTTTGCAGAACAAGCGAAGCGAGTTTCGCAAAAGGAAGCGTTACGAAAAATAGTGTTTTATACAATATTTTTTCTGATTTTGATTTTTTTAAGGAGCATCTCCAAACTATGGTTACAAACATTATGAATGATTTGTAGTAGGAACTTGTATCAAAAATTAATATAGCTATTTATTATTTATGTAACAAGTTGCAAAATGAGCGTGTTTTTTTTGCACTAAATGTGAGGATTGTGTGCAATTTGCGACGTGTTTCATACAAGATTTTTTGTGATTCATTCAAAATATTTAAAATTCAGAATATAAACGCATTTTAATACTGACACGGAACACTCTAAATCCCATTTTAACACTCAGTGATGAGATGAGATCTCATTTCAACACTGTTGTATTGGATCACACTGCTTATTTTGGCGTTTATGTTGAAATGAACCACTTTTGACAACTAAAATAAATGTCAAAAAGATGCCATTTCGTAACTGAATTACAAAATAGGGCCGGGTTCAGAAATAACGCACAGGGTGCGAGTGCGATTTTATGGGTGTGCCTGAATTGACAATTGGCCATTGGGCCTTATAGCACCGTTCAGCATTTTTGAACAGCTAGGGCGTCGCACCGGTGTCACACTCACACTGGGTGTGTCATTCCTGAACTCGCCCCAGCTAAATTCTATATTTTTTTTAAAGGTAAAAGTCAAAATGACATTAAAGTGCGTTTTTTTTTAAGATAAAAGTCAAACTGACATTAGGTTGGCAATACAATGTAAAATTGTCAATGCTATCAAATTTTTTATGTAGTAAAGGCTTGTGTGCCAACATAGTTACTAAATTTTTGACTTGGGGAATTATCTTTAAAAAAAAACAGACAATATTAGTTGTGTTATTGGGTACATTCAGGCATTGCCAGCGGCTAAGCTCAGCCACTCAGCAGGGACTTTATTCTCGAAGCAGGGGAGCAGCATTCTCATGAGAACGAAGGTTCTGTCTTCGTCGTCTGTATTCATATTTCCATAACACTGACAATGACAGAGCAAGCTGTTCCTCGGTTTCGAGAATAAAGTCCCTGCTGAGTGGCTGAGCTTAGCCGGTGGCACCGCCTGAATGTATCCACAGATTCATAACACCTCTAGTTGTGTAATGAGTCTCATAACATAAAGCATATACTAGAAAAATGGCTTTGTAAAAACGTAATAACTAAACGATTGTAGATATAGACCTTAAAATAGGGACTGTTTCGTGGAGTATTTTTTTTTTGTCTGCCATTTTGAGAGCTGAATGTGGCTAATTAGCTCATGAGAATATGAGTGATTTCAATGCCACAGATGCTTTTCAATAGCTGAAAATGTGGGATGGGAGTCAACTTGCAAGAGAAAAGTATACAACTTTCCGCATTTATTTTCTGTCTAGCAATCAAGAGAATAAAAGGTTTTGTTATGAGAATGAAATGTTTCGTTGTGAAAATAATGCTGAAAAATCGCCAGACAGTTATCACAGTTTGAAATTGAGAAGAAATTTGGAACAGAGAGCAGGCATTAAAACCACTTATATTCTCATCAGCTAACTATCCACATTCCACAATCAGCCCTCAAAATGCCAGACAAAAAAAAATGACTCCACTAAACACTCCCTATCTGCAGGTCTGATAAAGCAAATAATACTGAAAGTCAAATTGCTAGTGTGTTAATTAATTTGCATTTTCCCTAAAGTAATCTGGTACGCCATATTGGTATAATTGATCCAGCTGGTACTGAAGGGCTCCCAAGGGTGATATCAGCCAGTCAGCTAGATAGTCTCTTAGCACACGTACTTTTCTGGAGAAATTGTTTGCCCCCAATCGACCAATACTTTTCAAATCAGCTCCCGAATCCAGCCGCCATTTTCCAGGTTGAACATTTCCCTTTTCATCCTCCCAATCAACAAAGCCAGTTGGGCTATACCTCCTTTCTTGAGGGTCCAGGTCTTCCTCCCCCTTTTGTAAAAAAATATGTAGAACTACGGTTGCCATAATAATGAGTTCACAAGTTTCCTCATTTCCTATTATAGGGTTCCGTAGTCTCCTCCATCGCTGAGCTAAAATGCCAAAAGTATTTTCAATGATTCTCCTAGCCCTTGACAACCTCATGTTGAAAATATTTTTTTTTTCATCCAAAAAATTCCCAGGATATGGCCTCATTATATTTGAATGCAAAGGAAATGCTGCATCTGCAGCAAAAAAGAAGGGAAAAGGGATGTCAGTTCCAGGTAGAGCTTCAGGCTCAGGAAGAGAGAGGGTGCCATTAATTAAAGCTTTTCCATAACTTGATTCCCTGAAAACTGCCGAATCATGACTTGAACCAGGTGCTCCAATGTCCACATAAGTAAATTTATAGTATCCATCACATGCGGCCATAAGAATCATGCTAAAACAAAAACAAGTTTTTTTTTGTAAAAAATTATCCTAAAAATTATAAATGATGCATAAATACAAAAAACAAAATTCTGATCTACCTGAATGATTTTTTATAGGAAAAATAGGAGGTTCCAGAATGATTTGGACATTGAACCAACACATGCTTCCCATCTACTGCTCCTATACAATTTGGAAGATTCCATCTCAGAAGATTTTCTCTTGCAATTTTTTTTAAGCTGCATCGGTGTTGGTTCAGGAAGTACCAAAGGTTTCAAAACTTCCCACAATACTTTACAAGTATGTTTGATGATACAGTGGGCTGTAGTCTTGCCTATGTAGTTGTTCCAAGCAATTTCTTGCATAGAGCAACCTTCAGCTAAGTAACTTAAAACAAAACAAGAATGAAAGAAGGACCACTTGATTAATATCCAAAACTACTTACTGCAATGTAATAGCAAGCCGTTGCTTAGGCGATATAGGGTTTTTTGTCTTGTCCTTTTGTAGGTATGGCTCAACAAGGCTCAGGAGATAATTGAATAAAGCAGGAGTCATCCTTGTGTATTTGAAAAACTGTTCAATATCATTTGTTTCAGCATATTTTAACAGCCTCTCAAAAACACTATGAGCTGCTCTTTGACGATTTAATGGTCTTATTTTAAATCTCCTTCGTTTCCTAACTCCTGTTAGGCAAATAGCTGTCGCTGCCGCAGCCAACAGAATCAAAAACTCCAGCTCAAATGCTTCAGATTCGTAATCAGAATTCATCTACAACAAAAAAATGGTAGGTAAAACGTTTCCCCCATATTTGGAATCAAGTATAAATAAGCCAGACTCAATTTAACTATATTATTACCACTTACCTTTATTAAAAACACTCCAGAATATAAAAAAAATGAATTTTCCTCAGAATTTTCAAAATTTTCAACACATAAACAACCAACCGAAAGTGAGGTTACGTTCACGAGATACATATGGTATTCGTATTTTACGAAAACAGATGACGAAAAATCAATAAATAGACGCATGCGCACATCCATTTTCACATAAAATAAGATATAAAGTTAAAAGTTGGGCAACTTTTATTTTATTTTATTTCTTATGTTATTTGTTATTTTTTGTATAAACACTTTAAGGGTATCTCATGCGGTTAACTGTTATGTCTTATTTGTTATTTTATCTTATCTTATTTTATTTGCTGTATAAATCCAGCTTTACAGCATTTTATAATAATTATAGCAACTGCCTAAATTATAACAATTTTTGAGCTCTTCTTGTGCAATTCTAGTTTAAAATGTGCAAGATCCTTACCTTTCTCCACTTCTTCCAGTCTTTTAGGGCTCCTCCTGGAATGGAATTTAATGTTTCTGTGAGTTCTTCCCATAACTCTTGGGCTTTTTGGTAGGTGAATGTAGACGAAAATGACCCTTTTAGCAATTGAGGATGAGTCCTCATATACTCTGTGAGCATTGTCTTTTGACTCTGCGAAATAGGCGCAGTCCTACTTCGCCCAATCTCCATGAATAGAAATTTTTGTTTTTTGAGCAAACAAAAAAATTATTTGAAATTGAAAATTGTCTCTCTTAAATCACACACTTTTATCACCGCTTTTTTAGGGTCCTAATGCCCGTTTCCACCAACATATTTAGGGCCTACCTAACGCTAGGTAGAGAATAACTTTAGGTTAGGGGTCGATTCCGTTTCCACCACGTTTATTCTTTCCCTAAAATGGCTTAGGTACGACTTTATTCTAGGGGTCCGAATTTCCCCACCTAAAGAGTCACCTAGCAAAGGAATGGTGCATTCTAACCTCACTTTCTCAGATGTTTTTTGAGGAAATTCATTTTTCATTTTTTCTGTGTTGTGTTTTCAATTGATTCACCTCGATTTTGTGAAAATTTAACTCGATTTTGTGGAAAGTAGTGGAAAGTTCCCTCTTGTCATTAATATGGCAATATACGACGATGATTATGAAATATTAGATTTGGTACAAAATGGTTTTC